AATGTCCCTGCAACCAAGATTACTTTATCCAGCAAAGCTATCATTCAGAATAGAAGGTCAGATAAAGAGCTTCACGGATAAGAAAAAGCTAAAGGAGTTCATCACCACCAAACCAGCATTATATGAAATGCTGAAAGGTATCCTTTAAGAAGAGGAAGAAGAAAAAGGAACTCTTGCCATTTGCCACAACATGGATGGAACTGGAGAGCAGATAAATACCACATGATCTCACTCATTTGTGGAATATAAGGAACAACATAATCTGATGAACAAGGACTGATCCAGAGACGGAGAGGCATTGATTGGACTGTCGGGCTTGGGAGGGAGGGTAGGGGAGGGGAGGGTAAGGGGGAAAGAGCAACCAAAGGACTTACATGCAGGCATAGAGGCCTGACCAATGGACACGGACAACGGGGTGTGGGGGGTGGAGGGTGATGTGGGGACAGGGACACATATGTAATATCTTAATCAATAAAATATATATATAAAAGAGTATGATAAGCCCTGGCTGTTGTGGCTCTGTGGATAGAGCATCGAACTGCAGACTGAAGGGTCCCGGGTTCGAGTCCAGTTAAGGGCAATGCCCTGGTTGTGGGCTCAATCCCCAGTAGGGGGCATGCAGGAGGCAGCCGATCCATGATTCTTGCTCACTTGATGTTTCTTTCTCTCTCTCCCTCTCCCTTCCTCTCTGAAATCAATAAAAATATATATTTTTTAAAAAGAGAGTATGATAATTGTTGGGTCTCCAAAGTATTACCAATGAATAAAACATTAGATCTCTTCAGCCTTTGTTATCGCCCGTTACCACTTCTCTCTAGATATAAAGTTCAGCAGAAGCCCCTGGAATCCCACATTGACTGGACTGGTCCACTATCAGAATACTCTGGATTATGCTGAATCAAAGTAGTGAGGCAAAAAGATTTCAGGAAGAAGCGGGAAAAGGTTTTTGAAAAGCATTGGAGAGCAGAGAAAATAAAGAATTTTGCAAGAGGGATGACTAGGCTGCTCAGGATGTAGGTCTCTGAAAGAGGCAAGCCCGGACCGTCTGGCAGGATGGAAGGGAAGCAGAGAATGTGAAGGGTGGGGAGAGGCCCTGTCCAAAACAAGCAGCCTGTGGCAATCAAGAGACAAAAAAGGAGACGCACAGGGAATTATGATGCATCTGTGACCAATGTCCTGAAGAAGCAACTTGTGTAATTAAGTCCATCACAAACAGCCCAAACAAAAACGGGGAGCGCTGCATCCCTGCAGTGACTTTCCAAACCGGAAATGTAAGATCAGTATCCCAGGGAAGCAGAAACATCCTGAGGGTTGTTTCACCAGGAACTGCCACCCAGGAATCTGCCACAGGGCTTTAAAATTAGGTTGAGGCTTTAGATAGCAATCTAAATGAAAAGGCCAGGACGTTTTTATTTTGAAAAAGAATGCCAGCCCTCCTAGGATTCTTTCCTTTTCCTCCCCCACAAAAAATAACACAACAGGTAAGGCTTCGGCCAAAGAACAGCAGTGTTCAGGGGCTGTGCTCTGATGTCCGTTGACTCAGTGTGGCCATGTCACTGCAGGTTTCTGAGCAAATCAGCACAATTCCTTAGGGACTGCTAGATTGGCCAGAACTGCCAAGGACTGGATAAGATACCTACTATACCCATTAAAGATTTCAGCCTCAGTGACAAGTCAGGTATCAAAAAACTCACATCCTTTCCTGTGAGGCACGGAGATGTTTTTAACATATCACCTACATCACAGAGTATCAGTGGAGGAATTTCCCTAGTGTGTCTTGGAAAACTTAATATATTCATTTATTTCAGAGAGGAAGGGAGAGGGAGATAGAAACATCAATGATGAGAATCATTGATCGGCTGCCTCCTGCACGCCCCCCACTGAAGACTGAGCCCACGACCTGGGCATGTGCCCTTGAATGGAATCAAACCCAGGACCCTTCTGTCCCCAGGCCGACGCTCTATCCACTGAGTGACACCAGCTGGGGCTGTCTTGGAAAACTTAAGGGAGAGCATTAAAGTAGATTCTTTTCCCTAAAGAAAACCCACCAACACCCAGCAGCGACATGATAATTCTTGGGTCTCTAAAGTATTACCAATGACTAAAACATTAGATCTCTCAGCCTTAGTTATCGCCCGTTACCTCTTCTCTCTGGATATAAAGTTCAGCAGAAGCCCCTGGAATCCCACATTGGTATTGGCCCACTATCAGAATACTCTGGATT